TCCGTAAATTGTTTGAACGTTGGGAGTGGATTGCCGAACATGATGGCGAATACATAATTGATTAATAAAAGCGCTTTCTTCAAAAAATTTCAATTTTAGTTTGCACTTGAAATCGGGCACGAACTTATGCACTCATCCAATACATACATTTTCTCATTTTGCTGCTGGCAGAGTTATGTATAATTGTAGGTGTGTAGATATGTACATATGTACATGAAATGAGTTCATAGTACTTTTTTCTATGCCATGGAATACTATCCTCTTTAATTTATGATTTCATCACAATGCTTTGCATTCTTGGGTTTAAAGTTTTGCATAGAACCAAATTTATGCGCTGATAATTACGTACATATGTACTTGTGTAAGCGATAAAAATCTTTGCCTGACCACTAAAAAGTCCATGTAATGCGCATTATTTGGTTATTTTAAAATAAAAAATTCGTTATTGCATGGCATTTTAGATTGAAAACTTGTTAAAAAAAAGCAATTTTCAAATTGTTGCTCGATTGACTTGAGAGTGGAAATGTTTTTTAATGCCTTTTTTCTATAATTACTGTCTCACTGTACTTAAAATAATATTAAAAACGAATTATGAATTTCTCCAAGTACACACATTTTTTGGTAATTAGAAGAGGCTGGCTGTTCCAATAAAAACAATTGCAAGGATCCGTAGTAGGTATTCATTTAGTCAGCCATATAGCCGATTGCCACAATTTGTGGCAAGAATTCCTCTTTAATCTCAATTCTCAATGTTATTATTTACTTACTTGAATGCTAAAAATAAATTTACTTTACTAGTCTTAGCGCGAAGGCACTTCTATATGCACACAAAAAAAGTGCAATGAAATACAATTAGTTTAAAAATCTGCACCTTTTTCAACCAAACGATCTAAACAGCTCGAGCAGCACTACTTGACTGATCATTCGCCGAGAATCGGCTGTACTAAGTTTGTTTGTTTATTGTACATATGTATGTATTACCTATACATACATATATGTATGTACTAACATCTGTGCACATCCAGTCAAGAGTAGCTCGCACGTTTCATATACATCAATTCCAGATACAGTTGAGGTTACAAATTAAAAAAAAAAAAATATGTGTATATGTATAACATATTCATCCTCAGCAGTGGCAAGTGTGCAAGAGTATTTCCATATCATAACAGGCATACATACATATGTATAAAATGATGCTGCAATCGGATGCACTAGCTACGAGCTTTTTGCTTATCTCCACGCAGTATGCAGCTGAGTAATTGCAACGTTTTTTATAAACTAAGTTTTGGTCTAAATTTACATTAAAATATTTTAAATAGTTAATTAATTTGCAGCACACATGTGTGTTATAGCATACCTACCGTCACTACCGCTTCAGTCATTTTAACTGATGTTCTAAATATTCAAATAATCCAAATAAAATATTTTTCAACTTTTGTGTATGTTTTTTTTCACTTTATTTAATTCTTTTATGTAATGAATGCATACATTTCATCATAAAAATTTAATCAGTTTTGCATACAGATTTATATATCGGTTCGCAAATCATTAACGCCTACGCTTTTTTTGTTTTATATTTTAGAAGAGCAATTAGCTTTTCACAAATAAATTGTAAATTAAAAAAATATTATTCTTTTAAGTAAAGCATAGCCGTTAATGTGTATGTGCACTGATATACCGACTGGTATGCTAACGTAAACTTACCCCAAAAGGCACGATAACGTTCCATTTACCTTTGGCATTACGTTGGTGCCTTACAGGCTCCTTTAGTTTGAAATCCTGTAGACTAGCGCAGTCGTCTTCAGCCATAAAATGATATAAAAATAGCATGTAGCATGTAGGAGATAAAATAAATATTAAGCTTTAAGTGGTTAACTTAGCGTGTATGAAATAATTATGAGCGAATTGTCTTCATTAACGGTATACTTAGTTTTCTGTTAGCTGCACGCAGTAAATAATTACGTATATGGTTATATATACATACAAGTAAATAAATGTATTGTATTATGTATTAAATTTATTTTATTTTGTATATATAACTAAAAAAAAAACATACATATGCTATGTTTTGTTAAAGAAAATACATAAAACTTTAATTGTACGATAGTTTTCACCAATTGTTTTTTAAAATAGATTAAGTTTATAAAAATAATTTGATAAAATTAACAAATAATTATCATATTCTATTTTCAATTTTGGCAAGTAATATAATATAAACCCGTTATGCACTTGAGATACATAGGGATAAAGTATTTTTATAAATTACATATTGTATTACTTTTTTATATGCAATTGGTTTCTTAAATCCTCATAATATTAGATAAATCTATTAAAAGCACTTAGAGTTACAATATTGTAATTGTAATTTTTACATAACATATTTTTGAAATAATAGCCCTTCTTTTTCTTCATAAACTAGGGGTTATAAAAATTTTTTGAAATAATGAATTACTATTGATTACAAATAATTTATAATTGAGACATAACATTTTTTTCTGTTAATAATTAAGCGTTAAGCCTTAGATTTACATCATTCCAATAAACTTAAATTTTCCATAAATACAAAATTTATATCGAGATATGTATGTTTATGCATAAAATTACAAAAATTTCCAAGCCACTAAATAATTAGGCATATATATATAACTATAACAATATTATTAATAATTATATAGATACTTACAAGTGTTTTCCAACATATGCACATATGTAATATTCTAAACTAACTATCGTACATACATAGGTTACTTAAATTTTACTAAATAGTTATCCTTGTTTTGCATTGACCTATTAGTGTGATAGACAAAACAGGTAAGCCTTTTTGTGAATTATACTTAAGGATTTCTTCTACATTGGGCTTGTTGTATTATACCTAAATTAAAGAGAATTAAATTAAAAGTTAAATATTTCATATTTTCGAAGTTTCATTCAAAATAAATATATAAACAATACTATAACACGATTTGCGAACTGAAAACACTCACAATGAAATCGTCGAAATATTCTACACGAGGTGTTTATAATAAAACAAATAGCGTTCTTATTAATACTATAGGTATACGTACATAACATATTTGTCTAAAATATATTATTGAAATATAATTGCATGATCAATTAGGCAGAGTGTTTTAAAGAAAGTAGTTTCAATTTTTGAACATAAAAACATATTTACCTTTTCAGTTAACAGCATAATCATCAACGTCTAAACTTATTCGCTATTTGTGCGGCGGTATTCGGTGGTGCACCATTCTTACTGGGTGGTATAGGGGCAGATGGTTGTTTATTTGGGCCATAACCATTATAAGCTTGGGGTGGAGCCTGTTGATTGGTATTAGCTAAAAATTTTTTTTTTTTTATAAATTATGCAGATTTTAAAATATTGCGATTTAATTGTATACCATAATTGCCATTTTGTTGTGGTGGAGCGTATGGATGCATACGGTTTGTGTGGGGTGGATTGTTTTTGGCAGGACCGCCGCCATAATTTTGCTGATATCCATTACCGAAATTAGCTGGTGGACCTGGTTGTTGGGGTGGGCCATTTACTGGCGGAGCGTTCCAATTTCCATTTGGAGCTGGGCCAACCGGCGGCTGTGGTACAGGTGCTGGTCCTGTATTTTGTGGCCATTGATTGCCATACCAGTTGGTGGGTGGTGCCTGTTGGGGTGGTGGTGGTCCTGCATTCCAACCATTCCAGCCATATGGTGTATTCCAACCATTAGTTGGTGGCTGGGGATACGGATTATATTGGTGTGGTGGTGGTTGCTGTGGCTGACCCCAATAATTGTATGGAGTACCTTGTTGGTAAGGTGCTGGTTGTGGTCCTTGTTGATACGGTGGCATTGGTTGTTGAGGTACTGGTGGTCGGGCATTAGTCGGTTTTATACCCACTGAGTTTTGCTTCGAAGAGTTTATTGCGTTGTTCGTATCACTATTTCCACCCTCATTGCCTTTGTTTTCTTGTTTATAAACTGATTTCTTAACATCAACAACAACATACTTAATTGTATGTGCCCTTTGTACTACAAAATATAAGAGAAATAAAATTCAGTAATATCAAAAAATCATATTTAGAGTTAAGAGCTTACATATAGCTTTGTCAACAGAATCGTAATCATCATATTCTATAAAAGCAAATCCACGACGTTTTCCTGTTGTTTTATCCGTCAAAATCTTTACAGACACTACATTGCCGAACTTAGAAAAATATTCTTCTAAGCATTTCTCGTCATGGTTATCCTTTAATCCTCCCACAAATAGCTTTTTAACTGAAATGTTTGTTTCGCGTGTCTCACGCTCAGGACGTGGTAGAGCTCGTTTCGGATCAACAGGTCTGAATAAAATAAAAATTAAGATATATAGTAATAAATTTAATATACATTTTCAACTAGCCAGCACAATATTTCAGAAACACATGTGTATATGTACATATGTGTCGGTACACTTACTTATTATCAATGACATGCGGTCTATTCTTTTGTGCTTCATCAACACTAGCGGCCTTTGTATAGGTAATAAATCCGAAACCACGAGAACGTTTTGTTGTTGGATCACGCATAACTACGGCATCCACTACTGTGCCCCATTTTCCATAAAACGCCTTTAAACTCTCTTCCGTTGTTTGTGAGGCCAAACCACCAATGAATAGCTTGCGTAAGTGCTCCAATTCACAGATATCCTCCTGTAATAAAAAAAAAAATTATATAGTGCATTTATCATCAGCCACTACGTATGAACCTTACTTCTTCCACATGTGTAGAATCTTTCGTCAATTCCGGTATATTTGAAGCACCGTTTTCGCAATGCTCGCTTTTAATAGTTGCAGTCATTTTTTACAAATTATATTTTGATTATCTCAAACGAAAATGTTTAAACCAATGAACTTTATGATTTTTCAGAAAGAAAATTTTCAATTATCTATACTGAATTATACAAAATGGCGTGTATGCTGCCAGATAAATAAAGATATTTTTCCAGCCTGCCACATATTTTGTAGTAAGTTTTTTTTTTTGAAGCTTTCAGATAAATAAGGTCTCGTTGAAAATTATGGGAGGAAAATAAGTTCATTTTCTTTAAAATTGTATTATTATTAAGGAAAGGCATCCGCTTGAAAATGCTTTGAATAGTTTTTTGAAATATAGCAAATTTACCTTGACTGGGCTTTACCAAAAATTGCGTAAAAATGGCAGCCTACGTGGTGGCCACCTTAATGGGAAATCGATAAATTTCTCTTACATCTTCAGTTGTTAAATTTTGTTTATGAAATTTCTAGTTTTCCAAACACCTTTTTTAGTTTTTCATAATATATAATATATATGTGAATAATTTTTGTGAAATTTTATTTTAGCGGCTGATTGATTTTTTGAGAACTCACTGTAATGCAACTCACCATACTGCATTCAAATAGCTTCATCAGCTGTTAACAACGTTGTTGCTGATAAGAATTGTTTGCTATTTGTTAGTGCAAGAAAATTTCGCGGTGCGGCGTATTTACTTTTGGGACGGGAAAACAATTGAGGTAAGCAAGAATAAAGTGATTAGAATATAAGAAAATAAGTGTATAACCCAATAGCATTAAATGTTAATTTTATAAAAAAGTTTGCCTACTCTGCAGCAGGTAAGTTTGTTGTGTAATGAGATAGCTGCAATGTACAATATAATAAACACAGCGTTGAATAGCAATCAAGAGGAAAAAAAACTCTAGGTAGTATACTTTACGGCGTTCTAAGTGTTTTTTTTTAACCAAAAAGAGATGCCTAAAATATATTCTTATATAAACACAATTAGGATATGTAATAACGAAAGGTAGAGTCTTCTTTTCGATCGATTATCGCCCTGCAAGAACAATAATTCTTATATGATATAACTGCTGATAGAAACATTCATTATTGGCTTCCTACAGTTTTCTATCAAATAAAGGGTGTTTTGAAAAATGTATGGAGGCAATTACCACTTGTGACTTTATTATTAACGGCATTGAATTCATCGTAAGAATAACTACTTTACCGTAAGTGCCATTTTTCGAATTGGGATTTTTGCAAATTAAAAAAAAAAATGAAGGATATTTTATTATATTAGTGTTTTTTATTTTTTAAATTCGTAATGTAACCTTTATCTTTTTTAAGGTAGCGATTTCAGTTTTCACAACTGATATGGAACATACATACGCACATATTGGAAATTTTAACAATACCTGTGCTTATAGAAGCAATTACCCCAATAACTGAGCTTTCTATCAAGCTTCTTGTTTATATACCAATGAGTGCAGTAGAATTTCACTTCACGTTTTCTGATTATAACACAGAAAACTCATTCAAGAATAAATAACGGTTGAATGAATGCATAGCGTAAAAGTTAATCTTCGTTGCGTTCTCCTTGAATGACTTTTAACCCAAAATATGTGTATGTGAATGTTTGTGATTTTAATTTAGAAGAAAACAAATAAAACTGGATACTCATCTTCCTTGCATTTAAGAACTGCTTCAGCGATTACAAAGCGCCAGTTATATTATATATAATTTACATATATTATATATACAACGAGTATGTTTGCGGACGCCATAGCCGAGTCGTTAGCATTGCCATTCAGTCGTACTATCATTCTGAAGGCCATGGTTTGAGTCATGGTTCGGCCAGTATCCAAAAGTATAAAAAAATAATTAAAAAAAAAATTAAATTAAATTTTCTAATTACGGTCACATCTCCGAGTATATTTCTGACATTCAAATCAAAAGCTCCTCATAAAAAACCATCAGCCGTTCGGAGGCGGCTTAGTATAAACTGTAGGTCCCTCCATTTGTTGGGAAAACATCAAGGCGCAAAACCACAAATTGAAGGAGGTGCTCGGCCGCAAATCGCTTCAGCGGCTCTAAAGTCTCAGTTGATGTTTTTCCAACAAATGGAGGTATCTGCAGTTTGTACTAAGCCGCCTCCGTACGGCCAATTGTTTTTTTTATGAGGAGCTTTTGCGATCGCAGTTATAAAATTTAGCTTAATTTTATATTTTAATTGAATTTTCTATAACTTCTTGGATTTTCGTATGACACCAGGATCTGAACCCTGGCCTTCCGAATGGCGGTACGTAATTCTAACCACCAGGCTTTAATCTAAATGAAATTATATTTTCGATAGTGGACCTAGTGCATCTTTTTCAAAATTTAAAAATCTGAGCAACCTTTTAAATTTCATAAAAATTTATTAATTTTATTCCACCAAAGAAAATATTTGATTTTATAAATTTGATAATATTTAAACACTCTTTTAAGATGCTATATATTACATACATATATAATAAATATTAAATCGTACACATACACTAATAACTATTCAAATAATGCTTAGCTAAATTAAATTTGATAAACTCGTAATATAAAAAATATAATACTTTTTTAAATTAAGTCTAATCCACGTAATTTCAAAACAACTGTTCGCTGCTTAACTCCTCCACGCAGTGGATTAACGGATTAACAGGAATCTATCAGTGAACTCAAGCCATTGGACGCACCGATTCCGTTTGCTGTTCGATAAAAAGTGCGTTCATTCACATCCGCATATCGACCATTAACGTGCTCTGGATGAATCGTGTTTAGTTGTGGTGTGTGCGATGTTGGTGGTTGTAGTTCTGCTGGTGTTGTTGTTGTTTGTGTGTAAAAATTACCATTTAACGACGGTGTGTTAGCGCCGATATTAATGTTATTATTATTGTTGTTATTGTTGTTAAGACTATCCGTTGTATGTAAGGCAGTCGAGTTGCGTGTCAGTGGTGAAGTCCTTGTTGGCAGCGGTGGAGGTGGTTGTGGTGGACCGGCTATTGTTGTTGCTGGTATTGCTGCTGTTGGTTGTTGTTGGTAAAAACCCTGATGCATATTCGTTATCATTGGCATGGCTGGCGGATAGCTTGCGGTATGATGTCCCATTATTGTTGTCATAAAACCATTGGCCACGACAAAATTCCTGAAATGCAAAATAAAGGGGAAGGAGAGAAAGTCATTGTATGAATATATGGACTCTATGTATAGTTAGTTAAAAATTCTGTGTATATATGTATATGTAAGTGTATTTGCTGTTGGTATCATTGTCTGCTTAGGTCTAATTAGTCTTAATTGTGCGCATAAATGTCGTAAAATTAATTTCGTGTTAATTTTATTGTAAACAATAATTTTAAAGATGACAGTTTTTACTCCCGTTCATTTTATGCTTCAGCGATGAAAGTGGGTAGTTTTTGAGAATTTTTTTGTTGAGTCACTTCCGTCTTCGAGGGGAAAATGTGGTTTAGCGTGAGATTATATATTATATGTATGTACATATTGGTCAAGTAAAAAGTTCGTTCGGTTTTTTATGTTGATTTATATGATTAAATATGATAACATTATGTACATTTGTCCGATTTAACTCCAATATGTTTTTCGTAAACTTGTTGCCAACTTCATTATACCCCTCTCGTAAGAAGCTGCGTCCCTATTGGCAAAAAAACTCGGAGAGCCAATTTTCACAGGTCTTTCTTGAGGCCAACTTCTTACTATTAGCGCGTGCGCGTGCATTACGACCTCCCATCCGAGCTCCTGGAGCCTCTGGCGCGTCACCAAAGACATGTGTGGCTTGGCGTTGTCTGATGGAACACAATTCGGCCTCTGTTGATCAAATATGGCCTCTTCTGCATGAGTGCTGCTTTGTTGGCAAAAGAGGGCCGAATTGAGCGTTTGGCAATAGGGGAGCAGCTGGTAGTAGATGATTCCTTGCCAATCCCACCAAATACTCAGCAAAACCTTCCTGGCCGTCAATCCGGTCTTGGCTACCATCTGGGGCGCTTCCCCGAGCTTCGACCACGACCGTTTGCGCTCGATGTCGTCGTAAGTGACCCATTTTCATCGCCAGTCACAATGCGCTTCAGAAACATGTCGATTCAGGGGCGATTCGAGCAAACATCAAGCTTCTTTTTAAATCCAAGATTATGCAAATGGTTTCAAACGGTTTTCTGGCAGCGCAAAATTTTTTAGAAAGCGTACTGCAACTATCTCTTATTAAATTATACCAACGGGCGCTGTGGCATGGTGAAACAATTGGGAATTGGGCGCTGAAGAAGTCGCAAGCAGCTCCTTTTATGTAAAGTTTTCAATAAATTTATACACATACAATCTGAGCCTGATCTCGATTTTTCTCGACAACAACAATAATATCAGCCATAAAATTGAAAAGTAAAGTCCTCTCGATGAGCAAAGGCTAAATTCCGAGGCTCTCGTCACTGCCGTCTGACTATTTGGTTCAAAATCGTAGACGATGACGACATCGGATTAATAAGTACCAGGAGTTTGCAAGAAGGAGGTGATCTTCTATCGAGCTTTTCGAAGAAGGATATCATAAACTATGAAATACACATATGCACATACAACCAACGCCATTGGCATAGTTCATCTAATTAAGAGATAGCGGCTATGCTGGTTTGGTTATGACGTTCCCATGCTCGATAAAACTCCTGCTCAGAAAGTTTTCGATGCAGTGAAAGCAGAGGAAGATCAATGCTTTAATTTTTTTTTATAGATCGGGTGAAAACGGACCTGTCTTCCCTTGTCGTCAGAATTTGGCTCTGTGCCGCGAGAAGAAAAAACGTATGACGCGATAAGCGAGGCCATAATTGAAAAAGAAGAAGATAAACTTCAGTTTGGCTCACTTTACTGCTGTAGCAGCCCAAATGTTCTTACCCGCCCCTCGTTTCGAATTCGTTGAAAACCCTTTGTTCTATCGGAACTATAACCTGTTCTTCAGTGACTCTTCCGATGACATTAAAGTCAGTAAAGAAATCTTGATTATAGAAGTCTGCTACTTCAATTGGTGTGGAGAATACATATATTAAATATTAAATAATATTACGAAAAGGGTTGCCAGTGATCACCAAACCGTATAAGTGAGAGTCGTTAAAATCAGTCCAGCCGTTTTTTTTTTAGTCATACGCGTAGTAACTAACAACACTGTTTGATATATACATTAAGACCAGAAAGTTTCCCGAAATTGTTATTTAAACTGACGGCGCTGAATATTTTTAGCACTTTTTTTTGGTTAAGTTGGTAGCACTGTCTCTAATTATTATGTCAAAAATGGGCGCGATCTGTCAATCAGATTGTTTAAATCGGTCGAACTCAATACCATCCTTGAATTTTCTTTTACGGCCTCAATCGAGTCGAAACGGGTTCGACGGAGTGGTAACTTGAGTTTTGGAAACCAAAAAAAGGCGCATTTGATCAAATCCGGTCAATACGGTGGTTGATCGATGGTATTGAACGAGTTTTTGGCCTTAAAATCGTTCACAATTATAACTTGGTGCGATGGCACATTATCGTCATAAAAGTTTCCAGAAATTGTTGGCCCATAATGACGGCCGTCTACGATGGATGCTTTCTCGCAAACACCTCAAAACGCTCAAATAATACTCTTTATTGAACGTCCGTCCCGTCCCGTCCCGAACCGCGAATATCGAAAAAAAAACACCCTCTTTTACCTTACCTATATTGTTGATCAATTTGTGCCTTCTCAATGCGTTTATCCTTCGCGCGTCGATTTTGAAACCAAATTTTTATCTGCGTCTCAGTAAGACGCAATGTTTCCGCCAATTCAAAGCGACGATTTCGCGAAATATACTCATTACGATGAAACTCCACCTCCAGCCGCAAAGTCTGCTCAGTACTGAATGTAGTGCGTTGACGTCTCTGGCGACCTTCCTTCCGTCTGCGGCGAGCAACTGAAACAGAAGCATTATGCATAGAGATAATAATCGAAATAGAAGATTAATATGTATGTACATTTATTTACACAAACAATTAAACGAATATTCAATGAGCACACTACTGATTGGTATAAAAAGTTAATCTCTGCTTATAACACTTGCTTGTTTATACAAATTTTCCCATTACATGTGTAAGTGTTATTAAGAAGGAATAATAGACAGAGAATGCATGTGGATGAAGAACGTATAAATATAGAAAAAAAAACGAATATCCATATAAAATAATGTGTGTATTACATATGTACGTACTCATGTAAGCCACATTGTTTCTTTATTTTTTATTTTTTGATTGTCTGTTCATTGCTTTCGCTGGAAGCGCACGCACTGCCCGCAATAATGATCACAATGAAGATATTAAATGGAAATTAATCTCTCGTTTATGTAATCAAAACATATTTAAAAAATGATTTAATGTTTTCCGGCCGCGAGTAAAACATCCTTCCGCACACTACTTTCTTTTTTTTTTTGGCCAAACATTCGTAAATATAATATTTTTCAACTATGCGTGCAGCCCCTTTTGAATGGAAAACCACTAATTAAGTTCTCAACTAGCCGAGCATGCCGCTTAAGCTACCGCCCTCTTCTGTGTGCTGTGCTGCCTTCCTTTAAACGTAATTTCCACACTATATGTAAGTATGTATGTATGTAGTAAGTATCATCATATTTTTCCTATTTGGTCGCCTGCCCGCGTTTTGTCATCACTCTTGATCCGGGAATTCTCATACAATACGAACAGCTGTGCCGACGGACTTATTGTTTACGTTGCTTCTGCATTATTACAGTTATTGCACTCCTTGCGACTAGCAAAATATGTTATAACTACACTTGCATATGTATGTAAGTATGAATGCATGTATTGAAGTCTATTGTCAACTCTTTCTAATAAAGCAACAAAAAAAGGAGCGCAGTCTTCGGTCATGCCGAAGTCTTTATACCTTTCATGACCATTATCAAGGTTAGAGTATTTCATTTCGGGATAATATAGGTTGAACCACTTCGGGGTTCCCTACTTTTTACAAAAAAGAAACATAGATAATTTAAATTTAATTGGTATTTTTTTATCTCTTTCAAATGTTAGCCACGGCTATGTCTCAGATGATCCCTCCATTGAGTCCAATTTTCGTTGACTCGTTTATGCATTTCGACAGGTAACTGGCGAATGATCCTCCTGATGCTTTGCTCCAAGGCCTTAATATTCACTTTACATATTCACACAGGAAAAAGTCTAATGGTGTGATATCACATGTTCTTGGTGGCCAGTCGATCGGCTCAAAACGTGAAATTATCTGCTCACCGAAAAGTTGCCGAGATCACGAGCTTCAATTTCAGGTATCAAATAGTCTTTTATCATAGCGCGATAACGCTCACCATTGATGGTGAGGCTCTTACTGGCATTATTTTTGAAGAAATATACATGGGCCGGTGCTTCTACCGGCCCACAAACCTCACCAAACCGTTGTTTTTTCTGGATGAAATGACAGTTCTTTAATCTATTCAGGTTGGCTTTCGTCCCAAATACGGCGATTTTGCTTGTTTACGCTGAACAAAATTTGGCTCGAAAGCATCGGCTCTTCTTGGATCTGTTCTAGTGCCCATAGAGCGAAGCGATGTCGCCTAGGATGGTCGAGCGGCTTCAGTTCTGGCAAAAAGCTGTATTTTGTACGTTTTCAATTTACAGAGTCAGTAGTCACAGTCAGAGTTGCTACGAACGGTGCCGAATCGATTATACATAGTCTTCGTGTACACTCTCAGCTACGGCGGCTTTATTTACTTCACTATGTGCTGGACGTGATATATCTCTATCGAATATTATTCAATTACGAATACTGGGCCTCAAGATCGGTGATGGTGTTGCGAATAGTACGCCCAGTAGGCCGATTGTATTGACCATAAGTTGAGCGATGTGCGTGAAACACATTCGTTACAGAACGTGAATTTTCGCAATAAAGTTGAATGATTTGTAAATGTAATTCAGACTTAAGTCTTTCCTTTGATTAAATGCCAAACAATGCTGAACAAAAATCACTGGACAGCTCACATGACAACTTTACATGACTCAGGACTGTTCTGTCCAAAAAGTGGCTATTGAAAAAGTCTCTCTGCTTGGATCATCCGTTAAATTAATTCTCATATCTGAAAAATTTGTGGGTTAATCGGGCTCTAAAATGAAGTTTTTCGATTTCGATGATTTTCGCTGACAAGGCTTATTTGTACATACCTATGTAGATTCTAAAATTCTATGCTCTTAGATGGGTTCCTGACCGATTTTTTACCCGAAGCCTCACATCTGAACAAATCGGTTGTATGGGAGCTATGTGTTGTAGTCATCCGATTTCGATAATTTTTAGATCCAATGTTTAATTCGTTATAAGTGTGTAGAATACTAAATATGACGCCGATTGATTTTTTTTGTGACAAATTTATGACTAAAAATCTCAAATCTGAAATCTGAAAAATAGTTCCTATGTATGCCGTTCTGATCCGATATGCCCGGTTCTGACAAATGATCGTAGAAAGAATGTACCAGTTCATTTGTGCAACAAGTTTAGTTGAAATATCTCAAAAATTAAGGTAGTAATTTGTGTACAACCAAACGGACAGGGCTAAATCAGCTCAACTCGTCACTCTGACTCGATCGGCATAAATTTGAACGGGTCTCTCTCTACTCCTTCTGTTACTTACATACTTCATACTTCATACTTCATGTACATGAAAGGTATAAGAAACGACAAAGCTGGATGAAAGCAGTTGAAGTATAATTTTATTATAATCCTTTGTAGAGCCAAGCTTTGCTTCAAATACAAAAACAAAATGTATGTGGTTAAATTAGTGCAGTTTTTCATATTTAAATACACTTGTCTCTAAACAAAAAAAAAAAAAAAAAAACTATTAACCCTCCAATCATACTATTCATTTGTGAGCATTACACTTGTCCTGTTTTTCAGGTGTGTCAAGCCGTTTTTTGTTGCGCCAGTAATTCGATCTATTGCTCAGTGGAAAGTCGGCAACTCAGCGTGTTTGCAGCAAATCCTGGTTGTGTTTTTTAGGTTTCCTTTTCATATCGGTTACAGTTTTTAAATATATTTATGTTTGCTTATATGTATGTGTGTACATGCGATATATATATTTTTTCTTTGCCTAGCGAATTCTTAATCCGCTCTAAGTTCTTTTTATGCGTATCCTTTAAGGCATACTCTTACTCTTAACTGATATTACCGCAAGTGCAAGCGAAAAAACCGCATGCATTGGTTTAAATACTAAATGGCGCTGCGTTTTTATAATCCTTTTCCGATTTCTCTACACATGATTAACAAGTTTGTTATGAAATTCGATATGTTTGTATTTTTTTTTTGCTTGATCAGTTAATGATAGTGTAATAAGGACGTATATTCATTCATTTTTTAGATAAGTTTTTATCAATATAAAAACTTATGTATGTGCATACGTATATACATATGTACATATTTGAAGGCATACAATTTTTTGCTTCCACAACACACCTGTGCGAAACTGCGTGTGAGAAATTAAAAAAAAAACCATTCTGCACATACATACATATTTAAATATGTACTTATATATGTAAATAATAATTTCCTGATTTTCTCAAATGACCGCAGTTCCTTTTATTTAATTTTTACTATTTTTCGTTTAACGTATTTTTTCCCGCTCTTATACCATAGAAATGTTTCCGTTATTTTGCCAAATTTCAAAAAGCCGTATGTGGCTGAAACCAATGCCGATAGTTATAATTACTCACCCGACGCGGTTATTCACACAGAAGCCAGAGAACATTAAGGTGGGTCATTTATACATTTTAGTTAAAATGATTTCAATATTTTTTTGGTTAAAAAATTCAAATCAATTCAATTTGACCGTATTTACTGTATTTACAGTTACCACCTGAACCGAAACCTTGTTGTCTGGCCGGCTGTACGAATTGCGTTTGGGTTGAATATGCACATAAAATGGCTGATTTGTTGAATGGTTATGATGAGAGGGCACAGGAAATTATTCTGAATAAAGTCCCAGATCCAGTGTTGAGAAGTTTTTTGAAAGTAGAATTGAAAAGTATACAACAACAGAGAGAACGTGAACATTTCGATGACTGATAAGGTAAAAGTTTTTGAAATTTATGTTATTTTTAACTTTCCGTTATCAAAATTATAAAAACAGGGTATAGCAATACAACTGATGATTTGACCTTTTCATACAATTTATGGTTTTGATTGCAAAATTTAATATTTTTTCGTCAATCTACGCTAATCTAATTGGCTATTTGAGTTAACTTGCATTAAGTGATGTGAATCCAAATCTCACTTTTACCCCGGACAGACAGCGCATATGAGCATTTAGTTATGAGTTGATTTGGTAAAAGCTTTGAGTTCAAAATGGAAAGGAGAAATATAAAATGAAAAACAGCTATTTTATTAGCAAGAAAAAAACAATAATAATTTTCTTCTCAAAAAATGTTTAAACAATATCAAAATAATTATGATGTATTTGCAAGCAATAAGCCTTAACACCACATTTCATGTTACATGTCCTGATAAAAGATCGCAGCGGCGCATTTTGGGAGCGCAATGTGCTTGGTTGCCGATAATAGCCGAGGGATAGCATTACGTATTGCCACACTGAAGGTCAGAGTTGGAGTTTTGGTTTGACTAACAGCCAAAATTATAGAACACCAAATTTTCTAATGTGGTGGTTCTCCCTCGGCATGGGTGGTTAAGCCCTCTAAGTATATTCATGACATGAAATCAAAAGTTCATAAAAATCCATCGACCACTCAGAATCGGCTTGGAATAAACTGTAGGTCCCTCCGTTTGTGCGAAAAACATGAAGAAGCACTCTAAAATTCGGAGGAAAGTTGGGCCGAAAATCGCTTCAGCGATTACAAAGCGCCAAATATATTACATATCTGTATATAATCTGCCTTTCAATGGCTTTGTATGTCCTCTTTTGGAAGTAGCGAACGCAACTACTCTCTCATTCACAATAGTCGAAAACTGTGAAATGTGGGAGCATATTTTATTGCATTCAAAGCCTGCAAGTTAATGCATATAAAGCCATCTAATGTAGATAATAATTGTAGTCTGTCTCTCCTATATGCTTAAAAGCAAAACCAAATACTTGTAGTTTTTTGTTGTTGTGCTAATACTATCAAATGATAATGAAGGCGCTCTGGAAATAGCTGATTTTAAGGTCGAATTGGTATTTTTGAGGTATTTGATGTAATTAAAAATGTTTGTTGTTTTCAAAAGATGATGAAAGGTTTAAACAGATATAAAATACCAAAGAAGGGATTTTTAAAAATCAAAAAAACGAATTTTCGAAATTTCAAAAGCGAAATGTTTAAATTACGTGTACTATAGTTCATCACCAATGGGTATTCGGTTTTGGATGATTATCAAATTAATAGTATTAATCATTTAAGCAATTAAACCCACCCTTATACTGGACTCGTATGTATAGATGAAAATTTGTACTCCATTTCATTTCATATCAGGTTAGTTTTGGTTTATCCCATACAGGGTTTTCAGTGTGATATTTTGATATTCCATGAAATTGGCATTTCATCACTGAGGTCTAGAACCGACTATAGCCTGTTGGCGTGAAACTTATATTATATTTCGCGTGGCCTCGAAGGAAGAAGTCGAAGGGAGTTAAATCACAAGATCTCCGTAGGCAATTGCTATCACATCTTTGAGAGAAAACATGGTCTGAAAACTTTTCCCTTGTGTGGCACGTAGCGCCGAATTGTTGAAAGTAAACGTTGTCCGGATCAATACCACCAAATTCCGGCCATAAAAAATAATTAATCATTTGTGGGTAGCGCAATCCATTAATCAGCCTCATTTTCAAAAAGTAAACTTCAATGACCCCGCTGGACAATAAATCGCACACAACAATGGGGATGGAGAGGCTTTCAGTAATAAAACATAGCCATTGAGGTGGAAATGGGCCTCATCAGTCGTTATGATTTTTCAAAATCAAAATGCGTGCTCTGTTAAGAAAGTTCATCACGCGCCCCTTCTGCGCTCGCTTCGAAGCTCATTTTCGGCTTAACCGGTACGTAAATAAGGAGAATTGTCGATTTTGGAGTGAAGATCAGCCAAAAGCCTTGCAAGAACTACCAATGCATCCAGAAAAGGCTGCCTAGACCGTGCGTTTTAACGCCTTTAGACTATTTTTTGTGGGGCTATGTTAAATCGAATGTCTATACAAACAAGCCCGGTTCAATTGACGCGTTGGAGGACAACATTGAAGCATTTATTCCTGAGATACCGGCTGAAATGTTGGAAAGGGTATGTCAAAATTAGACCAAGCGGATGGACCATTTGAGGCGCAGTCACGGTCAACATTTGCATGAAATAATCTTCAAACATTAAATTATATGGGCCATACTATCGTTTAAAAAAAAGATTTCATGTATTTTTCTGAATTTTACGTGTTCTTTTTTAAACTTTCCTATAGCTCTTAAAAAATCACCTTTTAAAAAAACGAAAAAAACAATAAATAAAATTAAATCTCTGATTACACTAGGCAAATATTTGTCTTAAACAATAATTTTATACGCTTTTTTCACAGAAATGCGACCTGCTTGTCGCCAACCCTGTACTCGAGGTCTTTTAATACAACCCGCTAAAATATTTCTGAATCATCTTTTTCGTATATATGGTGATAAATCAGGCAATATAGAGGTAAACATTTTTCTGATCTACAAAAAAAAAATATAAATATATAAAACAAGTGTAATATGTTTTTGTTTTCTTTCTCTTACCAATAGATACCACCCGAACCGACAACATGCTGTATGTCTGGTTGTGCGAATTGCGTTTGGATCGAATATGCAGAGACATTATCGAAACTTTTCGAAGGTAATGGCGAGAAAGCAAGACAAATAATACTTAGTAAAATCACCGATCCGAATTTGAAAATGTTCTTAAGTATGGAATTGAAAAATATTGCACAAAGCAAAGCGAATGAAATGAGTACGAATGCTTCGAAGAAAGATTAATTAGTTGCTGCAGTGAAATTTTATTTTTAAAATTACAAAAATACTCGTATCTCAATTTTTGCCTATCCCCAAAACATTTTGTGTTGAACAATAGCCTTATTATATTTACTATTGTATACATATGTACAGTTACATACTTTAGATAAAATGTAAGTTAAAAATAAATTTATTATAAATTATGATAACAAAGTGCATTTAAATCAGTATTTTTTCAAAGAACTTGCAGTGTTTATTACTAGATCTTGTGAATCCAATCAAGCAAGGCAACAACAACGTGTACCAAAAATAAGATTTTCAATTCTTTAGGCTATGCATCTAATGATTGGGGGCGATTGAGGTAGAGTCAGATTGGAGTTATTTAAATGGGAATGAGTTTCTTCCGACAAGCCAAGGGATCTTTAGAAATAATAAGGTGAATGATAAACTATAAATAATCTATAAATGGCTGCAAAAGCCGAATGAGCAGAAATTAAAATACAAAAATGCAATAAATCCATTAGCAGTTACGAGTTTCGTTTTTAAATTTTTAATTACGCAAAGATCGTCATTTTCTACCTGCAAAAGTATAAGTTAAATAATATGGCAATCCTTTTCCATTTCAGCTTAGTCAAAGCTTATATTCTGAGTTTTAAAAGTTATGCTGTTATATACAATACATTAAGACTAGAAAGTTTCAGGAAATTGTAATTTAAACTGCCTCCGCTGAAAATTTTTTAGTACTTTTTTTTGATAAGTTGGTAGCGCTGTCCTTAATTACTATAACAAAATGGGATCTGTCAACCAGCTTGTTTGCAGCAACTATCGAAATCAGTCGACTTCACTCTCCAGTGAATTTTCTTTTACGGTGAATACGGTGGTTGATCGATCCATCCCGTCCCGCCCCAAGCCGCGAATATCGAAAAAAGCAATTTCCAAAAACTTTCTGGTCTTAATGTTCTGGAAGATCACAACCACACGATGGATTTTATAATTGGTATGCATAAGTTAATATTGGTTGTCAAATATCTCCCTTCCGCTTTTTTGTCTTTTGAATTTCGCAGCTATGTACAAAGCGCGAACTCGTATCTGGCAACACTATAAATAATTTGAAAGGTCTTGGTTATCTACAAAACAACGCTATGCATGATTAGTTTGGATATTGCGTTCAACAGTTATAGACGTGTAAACATGGAGTTCACTAACGCCGAAATTCGCGCTATTTTAAAGTTTTCCTTCGTTTAAGGTAAATCCGCTAGAGAAACGTTCCGTGAGATTAACGGTGTTTTAGGGCATGGTACTCTATCTCTTCGAACCACGGAGGAATGGTTTCGACGATTCAGAGCCGGTGAAAACGACACCATGGATAAGCCAGTCGGCGGAAGACCTGTGACGACAAATACCGATCAAATCATGGAATACATCGAGTTAGACCGGCATATGGCATCTCGTGACATCGCCCAGGAGATGGGAGTTAGTCACTAAACAATTTTGAACCATCTGCAGAAGGATGGATACAAAAAAAGTTTTATGTTTGGGTGCCGCATAATTTGACGCAAAAAAACCTTCTGGACTGAATCAACGCCTGCGATATGCTGCTGAAACGGAACGAACTCGACCCATCCTGGAAGCGGATGGTGACTGGCGACGAAAAATGGATCCCGTACGACAATATCAAGCGAAAATGGTCGTGGTCGAAGGCCGGTGAATCGTCCCAAACAGTGGCCAAGCCGGGATTGACGGCCAGGAAGGTTTTGTTGTGTGTTTGGTGGGATTGGAAGGGAATCATCCACTATGAGCTGCTCCCATATGGCCAGACGCTTAATTCTACCATCTACTGCGAACAACTGGACCGCTTGAAGCAGGAGATCGACCAGAAGCGTTTAGAATCGGCCAACAGGAAGGAACCAGGACAACGCCAGACCACACACTTCGTTGATGACTCGTCAGAAGCTACGGGAGCTCGGATGGGAGGTCTTATCGCATCCACTATATAGCCCGGACGTAGCGCCAAGTGATTACCACCTGTTTCTGTCCATGGCGCTCAAAAGAGGTTTGTGAAAAGTGGCTGTCCGAATTCTTCGCAAATAAGGAGGGGGGGTTCCACGAGGAAGGTATTATGAAGTTGCCGTCTAGATGGAAACAGATCATCGAACAAAACGGCGCATATTTTAACTAAATCCGATCACCGTAACACATGTTATAAAGCATTGAATGAAGAGCAAAAAAGCGGAAGGAAGATAATTGACAACCTAACTGATGGACGTCGTATCAGATATAACCAGTGGCGACTAATCTCTTTCTTCTAAAAGTCATCCAGGACAATAAGCCTTTGTGGTTTATCACCGATCCCCATTCGGAAATAAAGTATTCCATGTGGTGATCTAGGTCGGTACAAGCTCATGAACGGATTGTCCAACTGCGTAGCGTTATTGAATCGTATTAAAATCGTCCCATATCTGAAGCACATGGTGACTGGTGATGACAAGTGGATCATTTACAGCAACGTCAAATGAAAACAGTGGCGGTCGAAGTGCAGTGAACCGGCACAAATGGTTTCCAAGTTAGGATTGACGGCCAGGAAAAAGGGAAAGGGATTGGCAAGCAAAGGTCAAACTTTTAATTCGGATCTGTACTGAAGGAAGCAATCGTCTAGTAGCGACGAGCTCTGGCCAACAGGAGGGCAATTGTGTTTCATCAGGCCAGACCACACACTTCAATAGTGACCCTCCAGAAACTCGGAGAGCTTGGAAGGGTGATCCATATACATCGAACTTATAGGCCAGAGCAAGTGGTTTGCATTTGTACTTGTTAAGTGTTAAGATACACAAGTGTCGAATTTGAAAAACAAACAAGGTACCGGGAAGAGAAAATGATGGTCATAAAAATCTATTCAATAAAGTATAGGTGAACCATTTTTTTTTTAATATTGTTATTTATAGTGGCTTGTTCGATACGCCATCTCAGTCTATTTTGTGCCATGATTCAACTAACGCCGATACAAAGAGCTCCATGGAGATAGTGAGTTTCGGTTTAAAATCATCATGACCGATGAAGCTGATTTTATATTGAATGGCAAGGCTAATAAGCAAAACTACCGGTATTGGTGGATGGAAATGCTTGTGAGATATTCGAGAGGGCTTTTCACGATCAAAAAGTGATCGTTTGGTGTGGCCGCAGACCATAGCTTAGCTCAAAGCCAATATTCGGCGGGAAATATCGCTTATTCGTATTACAACAGAGACGCTGGAAAATGTGATGCAAAATGTACAAAAAAGATAGTATTTTTGCATCAAAAATAAAGGCTGTTGGATATTATATTCAAAACATGATGTAAATAAACTAGATAGCAATAAATAATGTTTTCATCAAAAGTTAGTAGATGGTCCACCCCCTACTTATATGCGCCTACTTTAAAGAAAATCGAACCAAAAATACGATTTTGTCCAATATGTTGGTCTCAGGCTCACTTCTCGGATTTTTTCGTGTTTTGTTTGTATGGCCGGATACCAATGCAAATTAGAGCGAATCATCAAAGTCGGTGGTACAGGCGTTCTTTAGTTAAAAACGTAGTAATTAACAGCACTTTCATGAATTTTCATAAAGACCCATCCCACAAGTTGGAAAATCATTTCAGCGGTTATAAAGCGCCAATTATACATTTAGAATTTAATACCAATAAATTTTACTCACGGAACGCCGTAAATCCAGCGGCGAAATGTGGTTCACCCGGAAATCCAAAAGGTATGTTTGGAATTGTGGCCCTTGAGGCATAATAAGCCTTATCATATTCGTGCGCACTGTAGGGATCATAAGAATTCGGTAATCTAAAAAAAAAAAATACCTTGTTAATTAAAGCCCATAGTTGTGCAGTAACAAATCACATTTTCTTATATTTCAAATAAAATACAAACACACCTTTCGTCGTTTATGGAAATCTCTGGAGATGACAGACTGCCATCATCGCTTTGATAAGTGCTATCACATACAGCTGCACTCACATTGGGTACACAATTTGTATCTTTATCACTGGAGGTGATATTTTCCGCAGAATGGATTGAATCACTAGCACCGACACTACGATTAATATGCGACGTTTCGTTAGATTCGAGATGACCGTAAAGACGTTCGAAGAACTGACGCGGCGACGACGGACGATTATTCGGTGTCTTACCGATGACGGTTGCTTCTGTCATTGTGGAAATATATTTTAATTTTTGTTTTTTTTTTTTATTTATTATAATTAAACAGATATCGTTGTATAAAAGGCAATTGATTTTGATTAATCGGTGAAATCGTTTGCGGTCAGACGAACGAGTTGCGAACCGTGCTATAAGAGCTTTTCAAATTGAATGAGCAGACGACGAAAAATGTTTTAGCATTTCTCTTTTCAAACCAAACGCTTACTTATTAACCGTATCCTGCAATTATGACGACGCTGAGCTTTTACTTCCGCTGCCAAGAAAACAAAAAACCATGGCCCAGCGCAAAGCAACCACACTACGGAAATTCAGATAGTACGAAATGGTCAGTTGTGTTAGCGGTGTTGGTGTGATTAAAACCTGCTACACCTACATACATTTTAATTTACATATATTTTTTACACACTTGGCGAATACAAAAGAAAAAAACGCATCGTTTGTCCGACAGACAAGTCTCAAATTACCTGCAACAATAAATTAAAATTGTCTAAAAAATAACAAATAAAAAAGGAAATTGTTGTTGTTTATGTATATTTAAAGGATATGCGTATATGTATGCGATAGGTGGGCTTGTAGTTGTTGTTGATGTTGAATGTCAGCTCGATTTTGATTGGCTATCGTGGCTACAGTTTCATCCCTGACTTAAAGAAAGATAAGAACACTGAGAGAAATTGGAATTAACATTTTTTTTTATTTATTTTAATTTATTTTTAATAACATGAATGACATACATACATATGTAGTCGCTGATAAGGGCTTGTGCTTAAACCGCGTAGTCATATTTTAGGCATTAGCCGTTTTTTTACTACTGCGATCAGGCTAAGCGAAAACACGTATCGTCTCAATGACTATCGAAATCGAATAGGACTTTTTTTATTTTATTTTTTATTTTTTATTTAAAATATTCAGGTTTGCGTTTTGACGTAAAGAATAAAAAGAATAATTATAAAGTAAGGCCGCGCTTAGTATGGGATCTCCACAAGGCCTTCCGGGGCCCCTCGTTCCCTTCATGTAGCCCAACGTGGCCTTTTAAAGTCATATTAATTAGGGACGATCACATCACATAAATGGGCATAGAAGCACCAACTTTTGGACGAAAAGTCTGAAACTACTGGACTGCTGTAGAGAATTCGATCCTATGTAACATGCTTTTTACTTCCTTAATCAGCAGAACGACGGTGGTTAGCATTGCGGGTTCATATCCCGGTGCCACCGACATCCAAAACTAATTTAAATAAAAATGTAAGTTAAATTTTCTAATTGCGGTCGCCCCTCGGCAGGAAATGTTCACCCTTCCCAGTGTATTTCGTACAACAAATAAAGCTCCTCGTAAAAACCCATCAGCCGCTCGGAGGCGGCTTAGTAAAAAACTGTAGATCTCTCCATTTGTTGGGAAAACATCAAGAAGCAAAACCACAAATTGGAGGAGGAGCTCGGCCGAAAAATCGCTTCAGCGCTTACAAAGCACCAAATATATATATATATAAAGAAAAGAACTCAACCAAGGTTGGTAGGTATGCGAAACATGGTTCCATAAACAATCCCAATTTCCTCACAACTAGACAATATGTAGTCTTTCTGTCAAAGTCAGCTTACACGCTTAGGGTTCGGCTACGAAACTTAGTCCGTCATGCATGATAATCACATATTTATCACATTAATATTTTAAAAATAAAATTAGTTCAATTTGTAAGCCCCTTCACATCAGATAATGGAGTTTTGTTTGAGCGTTTAATCAGTTAACAGGCGTTGACTTGGGCACTAAATTGTATCATTATTATACGTTAATTCAATAATTTAATTCAAATGTTCTCTTCCAGCCGTAGACATGGAAAAATATTTTACTGAAAAAATATATACACTGGAAGATAAGTGCGTGCAATTTTTACAGTGTAGTTGAACTCACAGCAAAACAAGTATGAGTGCGCCTTAGCATATGCTACAATAATTGCACGGACAGCGGATTCATCGTGAAATTAGCGCCGCCCATTTTTAAGGATAGAATCAACGTAACTGCAGTAGATACTGGATAATGTTAAATATAATTCTTTTTTTTGGGTTTTATTGAAGTCCAATTCAAGGCGAAGTCAAGACCACCATTACTAGATTATATATTATATATTGTTTAGGTTTAAATTAAGTAGCGCATCTGTTCATAATTGATGCTTTGTAATTACAGAAGCGATTTTCAGCCGAGCTCCTGTTCCAAAATATGGAGTGTGCTTTCATGTTTTTTTCAATGAATCGGGGAACCAATAGTATATTCTAAGCCACCTTCAAATGCATAATGCTTTTTTCCAGGAAAATATTTTTATTTTCTGGCAGAAATATTCTCAGAGGGTTTAACATTCCCTGTCTAGGGGCGTTCGCATTGAGAAAAGTTAACTTTCTAAAATTTTGGATTTTAGGCGGACCATAACTCGAACTCTGGTAATCCGCATGTCAGTACGCAGTGCTAATCACGCGTCTATCGCGGCTACCGTAATGTACATATTTTATATTTTGGCAAAACAAGGTTTTTAAGCAATATTGATAAAAAAAAAACAATAAAAAAAACTGGAAACATTTAATTTTTTAACTTTTTCTAGCTATCTTCCTTTATGTGGTACCGCTTAAGGGATTGCACTTCAAAAATACATAGAAATTATTTTAAAATTTTTTATTCTTTTTTGTGAGGTTAATTGATAATTTATGTAATGCATAAATCGAAAAGTGTTGATAAAATATACATAACATTGCATACAGATATGCATGATACAAAATAGTAAGGTACTTTTACTCAATACAAAATTGACAGAATAATATTTTTTGACTTACATATATCTTATTTTCATTATAACTTCAAGATATTATCACTTTAATCGCTTTTAAGTCACCTGAAAACAATTTGTGAATAATTTTCTTTATATTTTTACTTACTTTGAAAGGTTTTCCCTTTTTTATAATATATTTCTTTAATTTTATAAAGTTGAATATTTATTTTTTAACAAAAGAAATTGGTGGCACAAACATGAAGCAAAAGTCAAAAAATCTTTTTAAAAATTCTAAGTTTACCTTGTTTTTGTATCATGCATATACATATATATGCATACAAATGTGCACACCCAAAAACATTTAAATTCTAACCGCTTCGGCTTGTTGGGTTATTTCCTCCAGAACAGCTGATTGCGGCAATGGGAAATAAATACAGAAACATTAATAAGACATAAAAGCAATCACAGGGTGGCCATTAAATGTGTGAAAGCCATCAATGAATTCGTATTAAATTAATTAATTCGTTTAATATGCTAGTTTTAACAACAATAACATCGAAAGTAAAGAAAATGTAACTGTATAAATTAATATTTCATTACTTATATTGCTGCACAAAATTTTAAAATGGCGTTTTGCTAAGAAGTTTTACGCAATTGCAACACCCTGTAACTATTCAGTTTCCGCTTAGCATATTTTTCTCCCAAGTAGTTTTTTTCAGTTTCTGAATTAAATCGAATTGTGTCGGTCGTGTTTATGTTTTGTGCTCGCCATTAAAAAAATAAATATGAAAGTTTCAAATGTTAATTTCTTCATACTGGTGAAATATAATTGTTAAATATTAAAAAAAAAAAAATTGGTGAAATCGAAAATGAATTAATGGAAAGTCCTCAGTTAAATATTCGAAGAGTAGTTACACAGTGCAGCAACTTAAGTGTGAAAGTTGTTTTTCTTTTAATTCGTTGCAAAAACAAAAATTAAAATTAATACACATTAAAATGGCAGAGCAAAGAGCAAGAAGATTACGATCTAAAATCAATTTGGCAAAATTAGATAATGGAATACTATTACGACAACTGCACATTGATGATAGCAACAACACCAACCATAGTGAAATGGTAGTCAACGTCGACAAAAATGAAGAAGCTCAAAATGTCAATGTTATTAAGCAAGAGCCTGATGACGATTTTTCAAGGTAAGCAAATAAATGACAAAAAAGAGCATGAATGAAAAATATTTAAGCTGAGCTGCGAAATATAATATTTGTTAATGTGCTGACAGTACAGAAATTTCCAATCAAGAGGAGCGAAAAATAAACAAACTGGTATATGTAAGGCGTATATTTAACTCTTTTCAATTAAGGTAATCTAAATTAAGCTCGTGTTAGTAGAAAATGAATGTAAAAAAGAGAAACTCTTGAAATATTAATGATAACCTCTCATTTACTGGTATATATAAGCCTACTCTAAACAAATATGTATCTACATAAGCTGAGCCGGCATTTACAAATTATAAAATATGTTTATATATTTAGTTACTTACATTAACAAACCATTTAATTAAAATAGAAATACCTATAAAATCTTATTTTTTAGTATTTCACTTTATTTATACATTTGTACATATGTATGTGTGTTTGTATGCATCTCAAATCTCTTTTCGCTACGTTTTTGACAAAACCGGAATATAATTTATCTAAGCACATACATATATATTACACACACATGTATTGTATGTGTATACACATTAACTTTGGGGGAAACCAGCTGTAATGCGTACGTCCTTACTTAAAATATACATATGTATATGTAGTGTCTGTAATCTGTACAGATCCAACGTGTAAAGCTACAATCATTTTAAGGTACTTTTTTTGATCAGGTGAGCAATTTTTATTAATTTGGTATAAGCTTTTTTCTGTAGGCTGTACTCGTAGGTATGTAAGTACGTGGACATGAAATTAAATAAGAAAATTCTTTTTATGGTATAATAATATTTTGCGTGAAATTAACAATAACCCTTTTTTGCTTCTCTGCCTTTGATTTTGCTTTCCATGCGACTTTTATCAGTTTTTGCGTGGTCTTTTATTTTTGTTTTAAGAAAGATATGATAAGAAATGGACTGTATGGTATGCATATTTGTATGTAAATGTGTGCAGTTAAACATTGTGGTTTCTCGTGGCTCGCTTAAATTCTTTGGGGAATGTGTCTACACCTATGGTCAAAATAATAAGAACACTTGTAAATAAGAATTTACCGTTAGTTTTAATTTTTCTTTATAATAAATTGTATAAAATTAGGCCGCGGTAGCCAAGTGGTTAGTATTGCGTACTGACGTTCGGAAGGCTCGGGTTCAAATCCTGGTGCCATACTAACATCCAAAAGTTATTTAAAATTTATTTAAATAAAAAATTAAATTAAATTATCTAATTGCGGTTGCCCCTCGGCAGGGAATGTTCACCCCTCCGAGTGTATTTTCACGAAATCTCTTTTCATTTTACCCTAATTTCCTGCGATATTTTAAAATTGCTACGCACAATAGCTTTTGATTTCCAACGCTATTTTGTTTTACAATATACATAAAAATGCTGTTTTTAGTATGCGACTCACATTTTAAAAGAAAATTGTGACTAGACCGCTATAAAGAAAAATTTAATATTCTTACTAAACATATTTTAAATACATACATACATACTACCTATGCAAGTAAAAAATTTTGAAAAAGAATTATCCAATCATTTCCACTTAATTTTATATTCATGTTGATTTCTGAAGACAAAAATGTAAATATGTACATATATATATGTTTATATGTATATGTATATGTATATTTGTGTGTTTAACTAACTTCCCATTTTGGCTCGTGCTCTTTAGCGATTCATCAATTCTATAGATTCCGAAGAAAGTGAATATTTCTTTTGCGCCAATTTCACGTGTAATCTATTAATATATGTATGTGCATCGGTATGTATGTACGTATGTTTTTATGTTTTTATTTTTTTACTCATATCTTTTCATTTAAAATGACTAATTTTAGTTGACAATGACAACATTTCCCCGCAACAATTCCGTTTTGTTAACCTCATTCGGCGTTGTTGTTGTTGTTTTTGTTGTTGCTTGTGCCACGAGATTTTAACCACCTTTTAATTTTAATTCATTTCTTTAGTGTGCTTCGCATTCTCTTGCCGCTATTCAAATTCGTATGCACTTTAATTAGCATTTAGTCTGTTTGCCCTTTGCTTCTCTAACGCTTTGCCGGCATGCAAGCTCTGGCGCGTCGATATATTTGCATAAATACTGAATGGCTTTCATTGATTTTTGTATTTCTACATATATATGTATGTATATATGTACTTTTCGTGGGTCAATCACGTTTTTTCGTTTTTTTTGTGCTTTTTCGTCGTCTTTAACCTAAGCTTAGGTTGCTTGTTTTTTCGCGGCCATGTCTTTTCTACAGCATAACTGTTTTTATTTTCCACTTTATTGCGATTTATGGTTTGTTATCGATGATATGATGCTTGTACTTACACTTTTTTAAAACCAATATTAGTATAATATAACAACTTTATGTACGTACATAGGTACACAGGTACATACTTTACTGGCGTAGACACCGCTTACGCGATTGTAGCCGAGTTAACAACATTGCGCCATTCGTTTCTTCTTTTTGTTGTTTGGCGCCAACGGAGTGGAGGTCTTCCCCTTCCTCTGCTTCCACCGGCGGGTACTGCAGCGAAAATTTTTAAGGCTGGAGTTTTCTTATCCATCCCGATCTATTGACCCAGCCAGTGTAGCCCCTATTTCTTAATTCGCTGAACTATATCAATGTCGCCGTATATCTCGTACAGCTCATCGTTCCAACGGCTATGGTATTTGCCATTGCCAACTCGCGGTGGACCAAAAATCGTACGCAAAACCTTTCTCTCGAAAACTCCTTGCGCCGACTCATCAGTTGTTGTCATCGTCCATGCTTCCGCACCATACAGCTGGACAGGAACGGTTGGCGACTTAAACAGTTAACTTTTCATTCGCCGAGAGAGGACTTTATTTTTCGATTGCCTATCACTTGTGGGCAAGCGTGATTTTGAGTTGGGTTTCAAGGCTGATATTATTTTTCATGTTGATAAGAATGTATCCACATAGACGAAATTATCTACGACTTCAAAGTTATGACTGTCAATAGTGACGTCGGAGCCAAGATGACAGTTTGTTTGATGACAGGAGATATTTTGTGCTGCCCTCGTTTATTACCAGACCCATTCGCTTCGCTTCTTTATCAATTCTCGAGAATGAAAAACTCACGGCGCGTTGTTTAGGCCAATAATGTCAACATCATCGGCGTACGCCAGCATCTGTACACTCTTATAGAAGTTTGTACCAGCAATAAGTTAAAAAAGTCACACGAAGAGGAATCACCTTGTCTGAAACATCGTTTGGTATCGAACGTCTTTTCCATCGCCTTTGATTGGGATTTCGGGTTTTACTATCTCGTTGTTACTGCCATTCTGCAAGCTGGAAAAGTCTTCTCTTCAGTTCACTTCTCTGTGTCCTCTAAGAGTTTGCGAGTATATACGTATATATGAACTGTTGCTGTTTTTACTTTTCTTTCATGATTGTAAAGAGTTCAGCCAAGAAGATGCTGCAGTGTTCTGGCAGTTGGGAAATAAACTCCGCAGCTCAATTTTTCATTAAGCTTTGTGCCATGGCGTTGGTGGTTTCTCACTCATAACTATTTGGGATTCTGGTGGTGAAAATATTGTCGACACATAGACTGCAGGTGGTGTAGTCCAGCTCCTTCGGCACTTCTGCAAGAGATAATCTTTCTTGTTCTATACTCCAGTTCTTCCAAGGTTGAGTTTCCCGTATAGGTGAAGAGAAAGGAAGTTGAGAAGAGTTAGCAGTGCTTCTTAAGGAGTTGATGGCAATTCTCCAGTTACCTGGATTGCAGCCGACCGTTGAACTCTCTTAAATTTGCTGCTGAAGCTAAAGCCGGACTCCAAATTAGCCAAAGTTGACGTTGTAGATTAGGATTGGTTCGATGTATAGATCCAGTACGGGATACTCGCTCTTATGCCCTATCTCTTTCCTATCGTGCAGTTAAAGCTTTCCTTGGTCACTTTATTATTAGGTTAAGTGTTTGCAATTTTTCGGTTAGTTTTATAATTCCATGAATATGTAACATCTGTGGTTTATTAGTGAAGTGCTTGGCCAAAAGTTTTTCAGCGACTCTTGGGTGAGCCAATTATTTTTACGTGAAATGCAAGTTTTGGGATCTATGGTGGGTGCAGCAAAACTTTCCAATCAAGCCCGTAAACTTTTGCCTGATCTTCTAAGATGTAAGTAGTCTGGTCTGGTGTTGACATGATGGAACACTACATCTTTTCTAAAAATCAATTTTGGAAGCTTTTTCTGTGGAATTTTTTTTTGTCGATGGATTAATTGCAGACAGTAGAACTCAGAGTTGACCGTTTTACCAGGCTGATTCAGCTAATAATAGATAATCCTACCCAATACCACCATATACCCAGCAACATTCTGTTTCACGTCAATTCGGAAATTCTAGTCGTTTGTGAAGGGTCGCCGGCCGTATGTTTTTTTTTACTTCATATTCTCGTATTTAACCTATTTTATTTTTAACGCATGTGATGTATTTTCTAAGATATGGTTCGATATTGTCGCGATCAAGCTGTAGATAAATTGGGATATAATTTTTTTTACGTTAATTCTAGTGTCTTCCAAAAATGCAGCTTTTTTGAGCAGCCAGCCGGCTTTAAATGATTTCAAAGAGTAATGTGAGGGAGGGATAATCTCCTGACAGCCAACAGACGACCAGTCGGACCGGACCAGATACCGATATCTTTGACGCCAAAGTTTCTGGAATGGATTCGAGTAAATCACTCCTTGGTCCGGCGTTCACTTACAACATTCTCTTCATAAACCACACAAATTTGTTGGCAAGCGTTTGCAGCGCTTTTATCTGTACATACATACATTCGCCTTTTTTCTTCTCCTTTTAAATCATTTTAGAAAATACTTCCAAAGACCCAATCATGAAAAACATCTATTCAAAAAAAGATACGAATTTATTTCACCGCAAAGAAGATATTTTTTTATTATCTTATCACAAGCTCTGCAGTTATCTATGTACATTTGTATGGCGCACGAGAAAGATTTATTTTCCAGAAAAACTTGTCATAAC